CTGAAGGGTCTCAGGCACTGGGGCTCTGGGTAGATGAGGCTTAATGGCAAAAGACATCCTGGGCCATCTCTTTCAAGCACTCCCTTTATGCTAATTAGCTTTGATAACTTTCTATGATACAGTGATTAAACAGAAAAACACTTCAAGTGATAGCGCAAGTGTGCTTTGTAATGAATGATCGATGAATAAATGAACAAATGAACAGGAATGAACGAAGAGGTTGAATGAAATGGAACAGCAGAGGCAATTTTCTCCAGAGAACTGTGGGATAATGAAGGATCACTACGGGATTAAATGACTCAGTTAAACCTTAAGTTGAGAGTGGAAGTGAGCCTTTAGCAGTAGGATGGAAAGAGGAAAAAAGGACATTGAGGCCGTATAGTGCACAAGAACCAGAAAAAAAGCAACAAAAAGCCTTTGGGAAAACTACAGACTAGCCACCCAGCTAATGGAGAGTTTTAAAGTCAGAATTGGAGGTGTTAGAAGATAACACAATTGGTAAAATTGGTAAAAAACACACGAGCATAAGAACCTGAATTTGATGCCCAGAACTCATGTAGAAAGGCCAGGCATCAGGCATGGTGGTACACACCTATAATCCCAAGATCAGGGAGGCAGAGACAGACGGATACCTGGGACTTGCTGGCCACCCCTCCCAGCCTTACTCAGAGAACCCTAGGCCAGTAAGAAAGCCATCTGAAAAATCAAAGTGGGTGTTACCTGAGCTAGAACAACACAAGCTGGTCCCTGACTTCTAATACATGTACACACACATAAACACACACGAGCAAAAATGAAGATTGGAAAGGAATTTTGGGGTCAAACCAGAGAAAACTAAAGGAGAGATGGGAACATGAGTTCCCTCCTAGAAAAATCCTGAAATATGTATAAAGCATGAGAGCTGACTATTTGGACCCACAGCCCAACGAAAGAGCCACCAGAGGCAGCAGAACACCCTATGTTCTTCTCTCTCCTTTCCAACTACAGTGTCTTTGTGACAGGAGGTACCAGGGAGCATTCATTTCTGCCACAAGTGTCCTCCACCTGAATAACTGACTTCATAAGAGCATTAAAGAGGTCACATAGAATATAGAAATACACTTTACAGTTGTTTAAATGTCCTTCAATGTGAATCTCATGGGGTTTTCTTCGCTTTCTCACTCAGACTGTGTTTGCCCTTGGCCTGACCCTGGAGCTGCCTCCTCAACAACTCACTCTACACTTCCCTCTGGCCTCATACCTCCGAGCTTTTCACTCCAATGAAGCTGGACTGGAAGGGTGGCCTCCACACCGCTAGCTAAGGCCCTGTGACTTCAGAGGCTAACTCAGTTCCCTGTGTCTCTTCTGTGTATAAGAGCTATCTTTGAAAAATGACTTCAAGGTGACAAAAGCATTACTATTTAAATTCAATTCTATGCTTATCTTTAAAGTACATATCAAATCTTAAAAATTCTGATCTGTGCATGCAGCTATCTCAAAGTGGGCAATGATGTTTAAGTGGCCAGCTTGTTCCAAAGCAACTGTCTTCCTGTAAGCAGCAAGGATTGCCCACTCCCTTTGCAAGGCTTGGTCCACAGCACTCAGTTCTTTGTATGGAGAGCACAGCAAGGCAGGATTTAAAACTCACTACCCTCATAGCCAACATGGTGGTTAATGGAAACATGAATGTCCTAGAACACGCTGGGTGTCCTGTGGATCCATTGACCTGAAAAAGCCTCTTGGCCAAATTGCTTTTTCTAAACATCAAAATAACATAAGTTATCCTAAGCCCATCCTCACCTGTTCTCATCCTTTCTGTTTTTCTAAGGTCTTTGCTATAGCAGGTCACCTTCTGGGTGACTCTAGACCCACCTGCCACTCCTTTTCTATCCTGGGCTGTTCCAAACAAAATCAGGAAGTCTCGGGCAAGAAGCAGATGGTAAGGGAGAGAAAGTCTGCAAAGGACATCTCGGTGTTACATAATACTGGGCATGAGACCTGCTAGCATCAGCCTTGGAGATAACTGCTGGCCCATCACTACACAGTAAACCAGTACCCTAAACAGTCATAAAGGAAAATTCTGCATTGTTCTTTGATAATTAGCATATAATCATGTAAGGAAATACACTAACATTTTAGTAACTAACAGGTTGGAGAAGATTCAACCTATTATTTTTAATGTGTGTGTGCATATGTGTGCATGATGCATATGTGTGTGTATGATATGAATTCACCTTCCTGTATTTGCATGTGTGTAAGTGTGTACATGTCACAACACGCATGTGGAGGTCAGAGGACTGGGTGTTGGTCATTGCCTTCCACCTTGTTTGAGAGGGTCTCTTTGTCATTCTCTGCCACATACACAGACTAGCTGGCACACAAGGCTCCAGAGACTCCCCTGCCTCTCCTTCCCCTTTGTTGTCGGAACACTGGGGTTACAGATGTGTCCTCCCACACTCAGCTTTACTCAGGCCCTGGGAATGCAAACGCGGGTCCCCAGGCTTGCACAGCAAGCTCTTTACCCACTGAGCCATCCCCAGCTGATGGAAAAGAGTCTTTAAGATATTTACCGTTGATTTACTCAGTAACTGCTCATGGAACAGCAAATACCTTCTAAGCCTTGAGCCAGGCCCCATGGGACAAGAAATGTATAAGTCACTAGTACAGCTCAGCTCCCTGTTCTTCCCACTTCCATGTAAGAAATACTGGATTGTGGCTGAAAAGGTCAGAGAGCGTGTTTGGGACGAGAACAATGTAACGCGCTTCTGGGCAGGACTATGGGATAGCCTGACACCTGACTCTTTCTTTCTTGAGTGCAGTGGTCCTATAGGACCAAGTTTGATCAAGCCTGTCTCAGTTCAGGGCCAGAGTGACTACAGTGAGCCTGGCCTTTCTACTCAGCAAGCCCAGGAAAGAAACTGTTGGGCATGGACATGTGGAGCACTCCTTACTACAACAAAATCTGTAACACATCGCTATTTAAAAATGGGTGAAAAGAAACCCACAAAAGTCTATTGGTCCTATTTGTTCTCTAAATCAGGCAACACAGAAATGTGGACGTTATTTCAAACTTGATGCACAGCTGGGTATGAACAGCACCTAGAAGAAGGTACAGCAGGATAGTCAAGAAGAAACGAGAACGGAATGACCTCCCCACATTGGTCAAGCCTCAGCAGCCATGGAGAATCCAACTCAAGAGTTCAGTCTGGAAAAAAAGGCTACCTCTGACCCAGCCCAGCCACTTAGGGAATAGAGAACACCCTAAAGAAAAAGACAATCAAGTAGAGGCGGCATGCACTTCCTCAGAGGCTCTTCCCTTATCTCGGTCACTTACAATTAAGCCTGCATTTCTCTGTCTCCTATAAGCTCTCTGAGGGTGATTCATGACTGTGTCTCTACCCATCACTCATCCCTTGGCACCTCTCACAGACCTGTATCTATTAAGTGCCCAAGAACATCTGCTGGATGAACAAGTTAGCACCGAGAAAAGCATTGGAGCCTAAGGTCAACTATGCCAGCCGAGAGCTAGACCCACTTCTGCATACCCCCAGGGGAAAGAGACTCCTTGTGGAAAAAAAAAAAAAGCCAATGAAACGCAACATTTCATTATGAGTTATTGCAGCACATGATTAAAAATCACAATAAAACCTAATACTACACTGTGGCTATCTTTGTTCTTGGACATGCAATTACATGTGCAGGCAACTGTTTTCTTATGTGGAAAATTGTATGTGAGCTTTTTTTCTATTAAAAAAGCCACACCCTTGGTTCTATTGCATTATTACATTCTCTGTTATTCCATCATGTGGTTTTTCTTCTTGCTGCAACCCAGGACACACCCTGAATTACTGCTGACAGAAAGATCACTTGTCAAAATACCTCCATCCTACCACTATTTCAGTAATCTTGTCTCTCCAAAGCCTTTGTTTCAGCAAGAATGGCGTGGCTGCTCCACTTCTAATGATTTTCCAAACCTTCAGTAGAACTAACACTGGTGTCACTCCTGGTTTTAAAGTCACCTTTCAAAGCAAAACTACTCTAGACCTGAATGACAAATGTCTCAAGTTTTTTAACTTTATCTTAAAAGGGATTTGAGGGGAAAACTAAAAAGCATCCACTATGGTCCTTGATGCTGTCATGGAGCAAGAGATCCTGGGAGTCTATGGCCCTCAGCAATCTCACTTCCTATGAGGAAAACCTGGGTTCAGCCCTGTGTGGGATGGATGCTGGTTTCTCGGAGAGTATGCCAGTGCAGAGGTGTGTGTCCTGGTCCAGCTGAAGGTGAGGTTTCCATGCACTCTGTCAAATATCTCTGATCTGGTTAGGTTGATCACAACAGAACTAGTCTTGGAAAGAGATAAACAGGCCAGAGTTTTTGGGAAAGAACCAAAGCCTACAGATAAAATGCAGGAGAGTCTAATGGTTCATGTCTGTAGAAGAGGAAACTTAAGTAAAGCTGCCTTCTCCATGCTTTTTCTGCTCCTGCCCAACAACCCTCTCTGCCGCCTCCCAGCGACTTAGTGCCGCCCACCCTGCTCTTTATATGACAAATACTATTACAATAAAAGGGTGGGAGAGAAATGGTACTTACTATCTCCTAAGACAGTCACTGTACTTGGCCAGTGCCCTAATGAGCACTTCACAATGATCAACCTTCCTACAATATCATTAGATGACATCCCTAGTGTGGACAAAAACCTGCCTCATATCCAAGCTCACATTCAGGTACAGCTGTTTGTGTACTGACAACATCACAATTCCCACCATCCAGTGGAACTGATACATTCCAATGTAAGCTGCCCCCAGTGACCTCTCCAAAAGAAAAGGATGAAGTCATTTGCAATTTGTTGGTGGAACAAGACATTCAAATGAAGTCTCTAAGGTAGGACAGATTTTCTCTGCTTGGTTGGGCAGCCCCCACTCCTTCACAAATGGGAATGCTGTGGAAGCAGAAACCACCCAAGCAGCCCTGTGTCAGCACCCAGAGACACCCAGGCAGTTACCCAGATCATCGGGGTTACCTGAATCTGTCACGCGTCCCTTTCACCCCCTTCTGCGTGATGACATCAAGTGGAAACCATATGCATTTAGGAGGCAAGAGGCTGACAAGCAGGAAGCGCGATTGGGACCCAGCTTTGTTCAGCCTGCAGTGAAATACATGCAGTAAGGGTTAGATACACGCGGCACAGACAAAAATCCAAGCACCCTCTAAGGCCACTGAGACAGGAGTGGGTGTCCCGGGAGGGTGAGACTGAGGGGTGGAATGCTGTCAGGGCAAGGAGGGGGCATCAGGACTCTCCCCAGTAAATAACCACCTCCCAGCTCCTCTGCAGTCTCCCCCGCCCCCAAGTTCTCCCGCGGTAAAGCGGTTACCAGCAACAGTAATTCCTCAGAAAGATAGGAGTCAGGATGGAGAATACCATCATCTTGGGGCAAAGATATGCTAGCAAAATACACTAGTTAAACCCACGCGGCTGGCAATGCGGGGCGCATAGTCACACGCCCAGACACACACACCAGGGCTGCATCTGCAAGCATCCTTTCTTCGCCCTGGCCACCACCTCATCAAGTCACTGTCACTGTTTTGTCAATTACCCTACTGTTTCCAAATCTGTGTAGCGCTCCCCCCAACACACTCCCAGGGTAGGCGGGATCCCGGACCAACGCTGTCCAAGCAGCTCCCTACAAGTCCAGCTGGCTTTGTCCTGCCGCTGTCCTTCCAGGAGCAAGAGCCCCGGGCCCATGGGTCCGCACAAAAGACCCCTGGAATCTGGCCCTCCACTCAGCCCCCTTTTTCCAAGAATGGCTCGGGGGCAACTTCTAGCAGGGCTTCGGGGAGTGGGAAAGCAGGACAGGACTGAAGTGGACGACCTGGGGCTTGGAAAGGCTGGGGGGCACAGCATGGACGCGCGCGCTCGCACCTCAAGGGCGCGCGCAGCGCATGCACAAGGCAGGCTCCCAGGACCAGAGCTCCAGGGGGCATCCCAGGACTCAGCGAAACCAGAGGCAGCTGCCACGGCCCCATCGCGCTCCCAACTCAAGCAATGCCCGAGAGAAACGCAACTCCCGGGACCACGTCCCCGGGAGACTCCACTCCAGCTCCACACTCCTTTACCCAAACAGGCCACCCCAATCACAGTCCAAGAGGTACTCCCAAATGTATCCCAGGTTACCGTTTCCCTTCCCCGCTTTCCCTAGGAGCAGGTATCCCCGCGTGCCCCTTCTGCACCCGGGACCTGGGAGCATACAGAGCCGGAAAACAAACCGAAACTCACTGACCTCTCTCGGCCGCGGGCTCGGGCTCTGCTATGCTGGCGGTGGCCGCAGCACCCTGGGCAGCATCCCGGGGGTCCGCGCTGCCCGCCGCGCTCTGCCAGATGCGCGCGGAGGGCCGGATGCCGCCTGCTCCTGCCGCCGCGGGTTGTGGGGCGGCGCGGGCAGAGTGGCGGCGGCGCCTCCCGCAGCCCAGCTCCCAGCCCGTCCTTCCCTTCGCTTCAGGCGGCGCCTTCCACCTGCCCCGCCGCCCTCCGCGTCCCAGATCGGACACCCTCCGCCGGGCGTTGGGCACCGAGCGGGAGCTTTTTGTGTCACCCCAAAGACCCGAGCGCTGAAGGGGGCGGGAGGCTGAGCTCTGCTCCACGGCACCGCCCCTCCCAGGCGGCTCCACCCCCTCCCGCACCCCACCCGGCAGCCTGGCCGGCACGGCACGTCCGTGTCTGTCTGTCTGTCTGTCCCCAGTCGCCAACCTCCTGGGTGTAGGGGGAAACAGGGACGCGCCCTTGACCCACCGTAGGCCATCAGCACCTGGACGTCTTGCTTTCCCCGCGCGGAAGCGGGACCTGAGTGGGATCAGGTGTGACCTGGAGCCCGAGCGCCCGCAGGCTAGAGCAGCTGGCCTGGCGGCGGTGGTGACCCAGCTGCGGCTCAGGACTCAGTACCACGGGGAGGAGGGAGGAGTCTAGACTGTTGCCTTTCCCGCGGGTTCTTTTTGGCTGCCCCAAAAGTTCACTAGCCCAACCAGGGCAGGAATCTGTCAGCGTGGAAGGGGCTATGCACTCGAGGAGGCCCACAGGGACACCTCACAGCTGGACCTCGAGTGAACAAAGCAGGCAGAATAGGGAAACAGGTGCGAGGGGTTATAAGGAAGCCTAGGGGGGCACCAAGCTCACCTGATTGCCCATGTTGAAGCCCAACTTCAGGCTCAGTGGTAAGGTGCTTGCCTAGCATGCACGAGGGCTCAGGCTTATCCCCAGGACCCCCAAACCAAAATGAAGCCTAACTCCTTCCTACCTTAGGGGCATGATCTGAATGTCATGTAATCCCAGAAAATCTAAAGGGCTCCTCCTGCTTCTTTGCTTAGCATATAGTGGCAAAATGGGGGAGGAAAGTGTCTGGGACACCACGCCTGAGTTCTGGCGCCTTTCGGGATCCATTCCATCAAGAAAAGTCCTGAGAAAAGTCCTGTGTCTCCATCTCCACGGTTCAGCTGAAGGATCCCTCTGTTGATGCACAGAACAGATGGCCTTTCCTAGGCTGCAGGTACTGAGAGCCTGGATGGGTCCAATGCTTCTTCCTGTACAACAGTGGTTCTCAGCCTTCCTCACGCTGTGACCCTTTAATACAGTGCCTCACGTTGTGGTGACCCCCAACCATAAAATTATTTTCATTGCTACTTTGTAATTTGCTACTGTTATGAGTTGTAATGTAAATATCTGTGTTTTCTGATTGTCTTAGGCAACCCCTGTGAAAGGGTCCTTGGACCTCCAGGGTTTTTGGTCCACAGGTTAAAAACCGCTGCTGTACTGGAAGCCCTGAGAGCCACGATGGTTCTGTGTGACCTAAGGAAACAGTGTCAGCAGCTGCTCCTTCTTGCTTTGCCCCACACTTACAACTTGTGGATGGTGTTCCAAACAGACTGTTAAGTACACTGGGAAAAATCTGCATCCAAGAAACTGATAAAGTTTGTAGGGTATGTGCAGTCTCTGGGATCTCAGTAAGAGTACCGCTTTCTCCAGTCACCAGGCTGGGTTGCCCCACTGTTCCCCTTTTAACCTCTATAGCAGCCCACAGAGGCGTCATACTCATGTCATGTCTTAGGAACCTAAGCTTACTTTGTATGAACATCTTAAACTTTAATGCAGAAGAAAAAAAAATTCTAGCCAGGTGGTGATGTTGGCGCATGACTTTAATCTCAGCACTAGGGACACAGAGGCAAACTGTGAGTTTGAGGCCAGCCTGCTCTACAGAGGAAATTCTAGGATAGCCAGAGCTACACAGAGAAACCCTGTCTTGAAAAACCAAACTAAGAAAAAAAAAGAAAAGAAAAGAAAAAAGTCTTTCGGAGACGGTCTTACACAAGTAGAATTTACTGTGCAGCATAGACGAGCCTTTGACATCCCTGCTGCCTCACCTTCCCAGTGCTGGATTTACGGGTGTGAACCACTATGGCTTACTTGAAAAGCTAATTTTTAGTCCTATTGTGTTTATGGGGGCACGCACCTGCCCCAGTACAGGTGTGGAGGACAGTTTGCACTTTCAGGAGTCAGGTCCCTTCTTCCTCAGGAGACTGAGCTAGGGCCAGGAATTGTTAGTCACGGAGGCAAGTGGCTCTGGGAAAAAAACAAAACAGTGATGAGAAGCTAAGCAAGGATTTAACAACTCAGATGTTGGTCAGGGGCTTGGAATAAAGGTGATTCATAACACCCAACATTTTACCAGTAGAGCTCAACCCAGAAATATTATTATGCATGGGTGCCTCACAAGATTGCTTTTAGGAAAGTAATTTCAGGAATCAGTAATTATTCTAAAATGTTTCAATGTCCCCCCCCCCCCCACAATTGCTTTCTAGACAATTCTTTGGAGTGGGAAATGCAAGGATTCGGCACGTGCAAGGTAAACACCTCCAACTTTATTCATTTCCACTGACCGGGATTTTAATTCACAGAGCATCATGGGTGTTCTGCCTTCTGTCCAGTCTTGTAAAGCTGTCACACCGAGAAGGTTAATTAACTGGGGCAGCCTGCAATGGGACAGTTCCTAGGACACACTGGAGGCGTGAATCTGGACAGGCAGCTATGGTCCAAGTCAAGGGAAGAACAGGCAGAACATGTTGTAACAAATTCATCTGTGAAACAGCCAGGAACAGGGCAGCTGAGACCAGTCCGGGTTCAGAGCTGCAAGCCGGCCACAGCCTGCCGGGGAAGCCGCTGTGGCTCTCACAACCCACTGCGCATGTGTGAGAGAGAGACTAAGTGGGCACCTGAGGGCTGGAAGAGCCAGGGTAAGAGGAGCGTGCACAGACCTGGAGACAAGATAAAGACCCAAATATCGGGTCTAGGGAGGTTGGTTGGTAAAATGTTCCCTGTGCAGACATAAGGACCTGTGTTTTATCTCCCAAAATCCACATAAAAAGCCCAGTGTGGTGGTGTGCAGTCTAATCCTTTGTAATCCTAACACTAGGGAGGTGGAGACAGGCATATCCCCAGGCCTAGCTGGGTAGCCAGGCTAACTGAATCAATGAGCTTGTCAATCAGCCAATGAAGAGACATTTCTAAAAATCAAGGTGGATGGCACCCGAGGTTAACCTCTGGCCTCTGTACACATATATGCACTTGCACACACATGATTCAAATATTGATGAGTTCAAACAGCCAATAGTCATAAAGTATGGACTATGTTCCAGGAAGGTTAGGATGAGAGGTGAGGGTGGGGTGGGGAACCACACATCTAATTTCCTGCAGTCACAGAACTCAGTTTCTAATAAAAGAAACAGATATTCCACAATAAAGTGAATTGTGTGAGCGACAATGAAGAGGGTGAGGGAGAACAAGGCAGGAGGGGAGTTGATGAAGTCTGCATGCTGGGGACACACTAAGCAGATGACTCAGAAGCTACTTTGAAACTGGGATCTAAAGACCATGGGAGAGCACACAATATCAAGCAAAGAGGAAGAACTATTCTGAGTAGAGAGAAGGTATGCACATGGCCAGAAGGGCAGTGGGTCTCACTGATGGATACTTCAACCTAAGGTTGAAGTAAAGGACAGGGCTTAAGTTCTTTTTTTTTTGTTTTTTTTTTTTTAATAATTTCTTTATTTTTTTATTTTATGTGTGTTGGTGTTTTGCCTACATGTAGGTCTGTGTGAGGGTGCCGGGTAAACTAGAACCTGAATTCTGGACAGTTGTGAGCTGCCATGGGGATGCTGGGAATTGAACCCAGGTCCTTTGGAAGCAGCCAGTGCTCTTAACCTCTGAGCCATCTCTCCAGCCCAGGGGCTTAAGTTCTTATCTTTGTACCTGCAGCCAGCGTGGAGCAGAGATACTCAATAAATGTTTATTGAGCAGAGTTCTTAAATTCTGAGAACCTAGGGTGGAGCTAAGATCAACTTGATGCCAGGCAGAGCCTCTACCAGGATGACACTTGCATAAAAGAATGTGATGATCTTGTAGATGACTTTTGTGATTCCCTTCCTGGTCTTTGAGGGCAAGGATCATCTTTCAACTTACACCATCAGCAACGAATGCAACAAGGAGGGATGGTGACAGCAGCGAGTCAAGAAGGAAGAAAGAGGAACTCAGGTGAGGAACAGGCCAGCTCTGCTCTGTGCTCTCGCTCCTGAAGGCCAAATGCAGCCCACTGATGAGGGTGAGCTTCTTGTTCTCCCCCTGCCTTTGTCTGGCATCCTAAATCCTAAAGAGAACCCACATGTAAATGACTAAGATGCCAACTGCCAAGTCATCTTCCTTCAGATTTATAGAACCCAGAGCAACTGGTGACCTTTAGAAACCATCAGAATGTGCAACATCCCTCCTCATTCTTTAATTCTGCGCTATAGCTAACATGAAACATGAACATTGCTCTGACACTTGGTTTGTATTTGTTTTTACCAGCATCAGGGGTTAAATCCAGAGCTTCACGCATGGCATGCAAGCAGTCTACCGCTAAGCTATGTCCCAAACCTGTTCTACTCTTTAGCTTAGGGAGAAGTAACATGCTTCTAATCAGCCCCAGGAGGTCAAGATCAGTCATTAGAGAAAAGGATAAAAAGGGAGCCGCAGGTCCTGGATGGCAGGACCGCACCCTGTATGACAAGATTGCTTAGTATGCTACTTTCCTGATCGCCATCCTACATTCATCCATTCCTTCTCTAAAAGTCCTTTGTACCACTGAGTCCTCAGGGTGAGATTCTGAGGTAACATCATCCCACCTTCTCAGATGTCAACCCTTGAAGTATACTCATTTCCTTCCTGCAAACACTGTCTCCTGAGGACTGACTGAGGACTGATGTCCAGGTGCTGAGCATGTGGGCATGGGAACTGTATCAAACATGTTTGAATTTATCTGTTAAAAAGTGGATCTTGAAACCAGGTCATCTAAATCACAAAATCATATTTATGATTGTGGGCTGTGTGCCACAGTGTGTATGGAAGTCAGAGGACAACTTGTAGAAGTCAGTTTTCTTCTTCCACCACATGGGTCCTGGGGTCAAACTCTGGTTATCACTCTTGGTGACAAGCTTCCTTACCCACTGAGGCATCTCACCAGCCAACCCAATCAATTTAATAAACTGGAAGACATTCTACAGTTTAAACAAGTGTGTTTTAAAATCTGTCTGTAAAAAAAATGACAGTTAAATTACAACCAAGTTGTTTGAAAACATCAAAGTAGAAAGCTACATCTAGACAGCTTTCACAGGCTGTCAGTGCCAAAACAAAGAGGCATCCTCAGAAAACATGCTAGCCTCCTCCCTAACCCGTCTACAATTTACATTCTCTAATGTAGTGCTAGTTACCATAAAGTATCTATACTCTAAAAAGTATCTGAAGACTCTTAGGGTATGAGTCGCCTAAGATTATTTGCTAAAAATGAATGCTAAGTGGAGTGTACATTTCAAAACTGGTTGTTACTTGGGCCTCTGTTTAAGCCAGTCCCAGCAGACCTATTATTCTGGCAAGGGATTCGGAAGGAGAAAGATTCTGTACTTGATATATTGTCTTACTTATGTAGACCCAGTGCTACCTCAGGCAATGGCATCTCATCTGTGGGAAAAAAAAGATAACTAAAGCATTTTGAGGATCTCAAAAGATTTTCATGGAAACTGTGTCTAGGATTGTTTTCTAAAAGCAGTAATGGGTTGAATGAAACATCTTTGTTATGCACAAAACATATTCTAAAGCCAAGTTGACATGGCCATGAGCAAATCCTTAGTTTGGGTTCTGACCATAAGCAATCATCAGTATGGCCATTATGGTTTCCTGGCTGAATGTCCAAATCCTCTGGATACCCTCTACAGCAGCAGGCATCAACTATTTTCTTACTATGTTCATATGATATGGGACTGAATAAGATCCTCATTTCCAGCAGTAAATTGGCATCTTTGATACAGGTATAGTAGAGGGATGTCATCATAAATTATGTTCCTTCCATTCTCAATGCTGAATGGGTTGGCATGTCCTTGTGTGGTAGAAATGTGTAGCTTCTGTCTCATCCCATTGTCCCTCATCCCCATTGTCTGTCCTAGCCTCCCTCTCTCCAGACGTCCCCCACCTTCCGCTCACCCGTGGAGTGACTACTGTCTTCCCCGTCTTTCCTCCTATCATCTGCCAGCCTGCCGGCATCCACACGCTCTTCATTGAACACCAATCCTGCTGCTCTAGCAGTCAGCAAAACAGTCCTGCTCCGAGATGAAAGAGAAGAACAAAAGAACCAAGACGGCCTGTTGTTGGACTTGAGGGTCACAACCTAGGCCCCAAATCAGGTCCGGCCACTCACCTGTCCCCCATAAGTCAATTGAAAGAGGAGTGCAGGAAAAGGAGAGGCATCCAATGTGACACACTGGGAAGAGGGACAAGGAGATGCAGCCTCCCCCACTCCCCACCTCAGGCACAGCCTCCTGGTCCTGAAGTGACAGTGAAGTGTAAATAGAAGACCAAGGATGTGCACATCTAAGCAGTCCCGCTCCCGCCCACCATTGACCCATCCTGTCTGTGCTCCAGACTCGTTCCCTAAGGCAGTCTGACAGGCTGTTAGAACTGTGTGAAATCTCTTTCCAGGAGACAAGCTCCCTCTCTGGCTGGCACCTTTTCCTTCTCACAGCATGAGATTGCTAAGGAAATTTTCATTTCTTTGGTGTCCACTGTTTCTATAGTCTGATAGTCAGATTGAGAAACATAGTGTCCCTTGGGAATATCTTCATCTGCCAAGCTGGTTACAGTTCCACTTCTATTTTTCAAAACTCCAGTTTGAATCTACCAACTTGCTTGGTCTCAGATGCTAACTAAACTCCCCACAGCCCCCCACTCCCCCACCCACCCACCCCACCCCCATCTTCTATAGTCTGTACCTTGCCTAAGTAAGCCTGGACCCTGTCCCTGCTCCAGGCCCAGAGCAGGTTTCAGACAACTCCTCCCCATCCTCTCTGCCTTTAGCTCTACCTCCCTCATCATTCAAATCCAACTGAATCAAAATGTCTGTTTCTCTTGCACCCAGTCTAGAGGACTAGTCAGAGTGCCCTCTAGTGGTGAGGAGGAGAAGTGACTCCCTCTGAAAGAAGTGGGGAGGCGGCATCCCTCCTCCCCCCAATCCCCCAGGTCAGGCAGGTTGCAGGTCATGTCAGGACAATGCCCACTGGGAATTCCCACATGCTTTCTCTCCTTTTGCTGATTAAATGCCTTTCCTCTGCTGTTAATTTCTTCCCTTCTCAGCAGGTGGAGGGAGCTGGGAGAGGAGACAGTCAAGACTACTCACTGGGTTCTCAACCCTTTCCCTTCTGTCTCCAGAAATCTTTAATAACACTTGTGTTTAGTGTGTTCACATACTGTTTTTGCTCATTTGTTTGGTCTGATTTGTTTTTCTGAGATGGGGTCTCACGTAGATCAGTGTCTCAGTCAATGTTCTATTGCTGTGAAAAGACATCATGACCAGGGCAACTTATAACAGAAAGCATTTAATTGGGGGGGTTGCTTACAGTTTCAGAGGGTGAGTTCATGACCATCATGGTGGAGAGCATGGTGACAGGCAGGCAGGCAGGCACTGGAACAGTAGTTGAGAGCTCACATTTTATCTGCAATCAGGAAGCAGAGAGAAAGTGAGATTGGGCCTGGCTTGGGCTTTTGAAACCTCAAAGCCCACTTGCATTGACACACCTCCTCCAACAAGGTGACATCTCCTAATCCATCCTAAACAATCCACCAACTGGAAACCAAACATTCAAACATACCAGCCTATGGGGCCGCTCTCATTTAACCACCAACACCCAGACTAGCTTGAAATTCATTGTCCCTGAGGATAAGCACTTTCCTCCACCTCCCAAGAGCAGGAATCACAAGCATGTACTACCATGTCTGACTTTCATTTGTTATTTTTAAGGACACAAATAACTTGGCTACAGGACCAGGAGACAAGACACCACCCACATGAAGTGAAACATCCCACATGAGTGAGCTCCCGGCTCCTCTTCTGGTGAACGTGTATTGATTCTGAGTCTGATTTGTTGCTAGCCATCCCCTGCAGTATCTCCATGCATGCCAGAACCCAAGAGGCAAAGGGATGCCCCCCACTTTGCAGATGAGGTGGCTAATGCCTGGAGGACTTGGGCAAATTCACAAGGTGTCGTGATAGTGAACATGCAGTTGCCCCAGCTCAGCCAAACATGAAACACCTCCCTTAATCAGTGCATGGAGTTCAGGCAATTCTGTGTGGTGGCCTGATAGGCACCACAGTCCCTTACAAGCCCCTCCTACTTCAGCTGAAGGGTGGAGTGTGACTGACACTGTGGCTCCTCCTACTGCAGGGCTCTAACAGTTCACGTGAATTGACTCTCAATGTTTCTTTGTCCCTTTCCTTATGCAGCTACTTGACTTCCATTTGCATCTGGGCAGGGCACAAAGAGAAGATACTTGCAAGATTTCCAAAGGCATTTACTCTTCTGCCAATGTCGAGCTTTTCCATCCAGCTTCATTTTGTCTGCCTTGGATGCTCTTTTTCTTCAAGTCTGCCCTTCCTGTGTTCTGCTTTACATTGGAGCTGTCAGTCTACACCTCTACAGCATGGGAAGATCCCTACAGACTGGCACTGTACCTCATTCCACCCACCCACACACACACACTCCATGGCTTCGTGCAGAAGGAAGTACACAGACTCTGCACACAGGCTCTGCACACGGGCTCTGCACACGGGCTCTGCACACAGGCTCTGCACACAGGCTCTGCACACAGACTCTGCACACAGGCTCTGCACACAGGCTCTGCACACAGGCTCTGCACACAGACTCTGCACACAGACTGCACTCAACACATGCATGTGTAGAGACGCCCCGCTGGGGATTTCTATTTGCCCTTCTGGGGACACACTTCCTCCAGCCCTGCTCAGAGAATTGTCTCTGAAATGTTTCTTCACAAATCTGTTACCCCCCAGTTACAGCAGGTCAGCCAGAGTGGGATTTAGAGTTGTTTCCAAACCCATTTAAAGTGCAAAGGCTGGAGAAGGGAATGAACACGAGCGAGACAGAGTTGTGACTGACATGAGGATCCTTGCTCTGGCTTTGTAGGAAAACAGGGGTCCCAGCAGCAACTCTTTTCTTAAAACTCTCTTATTACATTTATTTATCAAAGGGTGGAGCACGTGTATGCCACAACACATGTGTGGAGACCAAAGGACAATTTACAGGAGTTGGTTCTCTCCAACATGTGGGTCTCAGGATTGAACTCAGGTCTCTGGGCTTAGTTGCAGATTGTCTTAGTTAGGGTTGCTATTGCTGTGAAGAGACATCTTGACCACAGAAACTCTTATAAAGGAAAACATTTAATTGGAGTGGCCTGCTTACAGTTCAGAGGTTTAGTCCATTATCATCATGGTGGGATGTGGTGGTGTGCAGGCAGGCATGGTGCTGGGGAAGGAGCTGCTGCATCTTGATCTGCAGGCAACAGGAAGTGGACTGTGACACTGGGAGCAGCTTGAGCAAAGGAGAATTAAAAGCCCGCCCCACAGAGACACACTTCCTCCAATAAGACCACACCTACCCCAACAAAGCCACACCTCCTATTAGTGCCAATCCCTTTGGGGGTCATTTTCTTTCAAAACACCACACAGGTGCTTTTACCCACTGAACCATCTTACCTGCCATCAGTATTCAATTCCCAGCCAAGGGGTCCTTACTCTGCCTTTTGGGCTGGTTATTGTCCCTCAAAACTCACATGTTGAAACCCTTAGAATGTGGACTTATTTAGAGATAATAGTCTCTATACTGCCGAGATCAAATGGAGTCATGAGGGGATTTCTGAACCAGATTGATGATTTAAGCAAAGGAAAGGAAAACTGGACACAGATGATTAAGGAGGGAAGATAATGTAGAGACACAAGGAGTAGACAGACATCTGCAAGCCAAGGAGAGGGAACTGGAACACAGCCTTCTCATAGCCCCAGAAGGACCAACACCGCAGAGTCCTTGACCTTAGACTTCTAATCTCCAGAAATACATTTTCTGTATGAGCCACCCAGTGTGTGACACTGATTAAGGCAGCCCTGGCAGACTCATCCACTCAGAACTCTTATAAAAGAAGAGAAGTGGATCCCACAGCCCACACGGACTTATTATATCTGGGCTATTTATTTCCTGTGTTTACCTACATGGGTGGACTAACATAGGAAATGGTGCATTTATCCAATAGAGATGAACCATTCACTGTTTGTGTCAGTAATGAGATAATGCTTGATGCAATAATATGAATAAATTCATTAAGTACTAGGCACTCTGTAAGCATTGTCTTGATCCCCCTGCCACCCAGTTCATGGGTGTAGAAACTGAGGCACAGAGGTATTTGTGGAAATTTCCCAGGATACACTATTTCTAATCATACTGAGGTCTCAACAGGAACCCATTGGCCATTAGTTTTGTCCTTCTGCATTGCAGATCCTTTCTTCTGTCTCATGTCTGCTGTGTGCTGCAGACCATGCTAACCAGTCTAGCAGGTTCATGGAATGGCTTCTCTTGTCACTGGTTGATGCAAGAATAAAAATGTGATCGGGTTGTGTGCAATGCGACCAGAAAGGAAGTTGGATTTAAGGGTTCTTCACCCTTAGAAAGTTGGCTACGAAGCAGTAGCCTCTCTCCTGTTGCTAGATGTTGCACAACCTACATGTGATATCACCATGGTAACAACCCTCAGGTGACAATGGCAGAAGTCTCCCTAAGGAGCAAAGGAGGGTATAAGAACAAGGCTTGGTGGCACCCCTTTGCACAAGCAGACCAAACCCAACGGTGCCCTCCTCCCTGTTTCTGACTAAGAAAATAACTCTCCTACAGTCCAAGCAATTCTGTGTTGCTCCAGCTACTTAGGGTTGAAGTTATCTCCAGGTGCTATTTCTATGAGTACATTTTGATTTCTCTATCATAAGAGCCATTTTTAGATAGATTATGAAAAGCCAGTAGCTGCAAATTTACTGGCCTGTAGAACTTCAAGACTCAATAAGGAGACAAATTTCTTTATTTTCTTTACAATGTCAAAATATACATTAAATTTGCCATTTAATTTTTTTTAGAGTGCACAAGTCAATCGGTATTAATTACATCTGCAAAGTTGTATGCCTATTGCCACTACTCAACTTGAGAAGTCTGTTGTCACTCTGTTCTGAAATTCTGTGTCTGTTAAACAGGAAGTACCTGTTCTGTCTCCCCGGACCTTAGTGACCACCACTAACCTGTCTGTCTCTGTGAATTTAATTTCTGTTAAGTATATCATGTAAGCAGAACCATATATTCTTATCTTTTTTTCATTTGGCTTATTTCCTCGAGTCTAGTGATTTCTAAAGTCATCTGCCTTGGAACATATGTCAGAATTTCCTTCCATTTTAAGCTCAAGTGGTATGACATTAATAGACCACACTCTATTAGCCACTTGTCACTGAGGGACGGACATTTGAGTGTTTTCCATCTGTGGTGGTTTGAATGAGGATGGTCTCTGTAGGCTCATATGTTTGAAAACTTGTTCCCCAGTTAGTGGAACTTTTTGGCAACGATTAGGAAGTGTGCCCTTGTTGAAGTCCATGCCATTGACAGTTTGCTCTCTCTCTCTCTCTCTCTCTCTCTCTCTCTCTCTCTCTCTCTCTCTCTCTCTCTCTCTGTTGTAGAATATTAATTTAAGATGTATTACTTTTGTTTATGCTGTGGAACATGTACTTTAGTGATGCAAAGATGTGTTGTATCTTTTATGTTGCATTTGTTTAACTCTGTGAAGCTGTGTTACTCTGCCTGTCTAAAACACTTGGTGGTCTAATAAAGAGCTGAATGGTCAATAGTGAGGCAGGAGAAAGGATAGGTGGAACTGGCAGGCAGAGTATAAATAGAAGGAGAAATCTGGGAGAAAAAGAAGGAGGAGCAAGAGAGCAAGAAGAGGAGAACACAAGGGGCCAGGCACCCATCTACACAACCAGCAATGGAGTAAGAAAGAAAGATATACAGAAATAGAGAAAGGTAAAAGCCCTGAGACAAAAGGTAGATGAGATAATTAGTTAAGAAAAGCTGACTAGAAAGTGCACAAAACTAAGGTCTGGCATTCATAAGTAAGAATAAGACTCCTTGTGTGATTTATTTGGGAGCTGGGTAGCGGGCCCCTCCTAAAAAAAGCAAAAACAAACAACTACCTCTCCCTCCCTTCCCCCCCCCCCTCTCTCTCTCTCTCTCTCTCTCTCTCTTTCTCCTCCCTTTCCATCTTGTGTCTATGAACAGATGTAAGTTCTCAGCTACTGCTCCAGCACCATGCTGCCATCCTCCCTGGCATGATGGTCGTGGACTCACTTGCTAAAACTGTAAATCCTGAGTAAATGCTTTCTTCTGTCCTTTGCCTTGCTCACAGTCCCTTATTAAGCAGAAGAACAGTGACTAGGACACCATCTTTTGTATTTATGACTAATGCTGCTCTGAACACGGTGCACAAGCAGCTGTTCAAGTCTCTGCTTTGAATCTTGTAGATACACATCAGATGTGGAATTGTTAGACCATGTGGGAATTCTCTTTTAAAGCCTCTGGAAACTGCCATACTGTTTTCTATGCTGCAAGACCAGGCTCCATTCCCACTCACGGTGTACACAACTTTCAGTTTCTACACATTCTTAGGGCACTTGTTTTCTGTGATGTGAGTGTGCCACTGCCTCCTCCTCCTCCTCCTCTTCTTTATAGCCATCCCAATAAGCAATAAGTACCAGTTCACTGTGCTCTTCATCTGCCTTTTTCTGAAGACTGGCAACGCTGAGCTTCTTTTCACACGCTCTTTGCATATGTTCTCTGAAGAAATAGCTGTTGGAAACGGTTGCTCACTTCTGAAGTGTGTTGTTCACTGACTTTTGATTTCAGTGAGATTTAGTTCCTCTTCATAGAGTCTTGAGTTTCATCCTTTATCAGATAATATTCACACGTGTTTTCTCCAGTTCTTTGAAGTGGTTTTTACTCTGCCGATAGGGTTCTTTGACAATAGCATTGCTTCCTCTACTGAATTTTTTTTTTATTTATGTGTGTTTGTGTGTTTGCACATATGTGTGCCACACATATGTGGGTGTCTGTGGAGGCCAGAAGAAGGTGTGGGATCCCCTAGAGCTAGAGTCACAGTGGTTGTGAGATGCCTGCTGTAGGTTCTAGGACCTGATTTCCAGTCCTCTATGAGAACCGTAACGCGTTCTTTACCTGTGAAGTATATCTCCAGTTTTGACAACAGCACATTTGTAAAGGAGGGTTTCCAAAAACTATGGATTTCATCAATTCTTCAAAGTACTCTGAAGTCTATCTCTGAAGTAAGTTAGCCCACCAGAGTGGGATACCAAGTCTTACATGTGTCCTTCCTCTGTCTGGACTCGTTCATTGAAGCACTCACGCATGCATGTATTCAGCACATAGGTGAAGGCCTCCTCCCGTGTGCAAGGCTATGCTGAGTAACTTTCCTAAATTGTGTGTTGCCACTGATTTAAGGAACTGATTTTATAAAAAATAAAAACTGACCCAACGAAAACAGGCTCATAGAGCAGTGGAACAAAACAAAGGACTCAGAAATAAGGCTGCATAACTACAGCCACCATATTTTTAACAAAGAGTCAAAAACACACATGGGAAAAAAGAACACCTCTTCAATAAACGAGGCTGGGAAACCTGGGTATCCATATGTAAAAGGATGAAACTGGAGCCGAGGTTTTCATACTGTAGGAAAAATCAATTCAAAATGGATCAAAGACCTGAATGTAAAACCCAAACTCTGAAGTTGCTAGAGGGAATCAGAGAGGGGGCTTTGGGAGTCAGCGCTGGCCAGGGCGTGCTGAAAACAAACAAGAACCGGCAAGGGAGTGCAGGACATTACAAAGTGTCTTCACAACAAGGGAAAAAGCAGCAGGGGGAAGCGACAGCTCAGGGTGCAAGGGGTCTCGGTCAACAGTACATCTGACAGGGGATTATTATCTGGAGTTCATAACGAACTCCAAAAATCAAACATCCCCCAAACCCAAATCTTCTAAGCAACAACTAGGCAAATGAAGTAAACAGACAGTTCTTAAAAGAAGAAATGTAAATGGCCAACAAATATATATAGTTTTCAAAAAGTTTAACATTTTAGCCATCAGAGAAATGCAAATTAACAGTTCATTGAGACGCCACCTCCACCAGGCAGAATGGTTATCGCTAAGAAAACAAAAATATTAAGTGCTGGTGAGAGTGTAGGGAGCTGGACCCTTACAGACTGCTGGTAGGAGTGTAAACTGGGGCAGCCACAATATGCAGGTTCCTCAAAGAGTAAACCTAGAAGTGCCATAAGATCCCGCTATTTGACTCCTGGGTATATATCTGAAGGAATGTAAGTCACATGACCACAGAGAGACCATGTTTATCGCTGGCTGTTCACAATGCAACCAGTCAGGATGCTCATCAACAGATAAATGGGTAAAGGAGATGTGGTATATGTACATGAGGGAATTTCTCCTTCATCTGTGTCTACAGATGACATTGTGCCATTCACAGGAAAATGAGTGGAAGCCAGACTCGGTAAGACAAATATCACATGTTTTTGCTCACATGAAAAATCTAGATTTAAATGTAAGTACGTATAAGGCCTGGGAAGACAGTTCAGTCAAGAAAGTGTTCATTACACAAGCGTGGGAACCTGAGCTGAGTTGGATTCCAAGAACCCTATACTAAAAAGAAAAAAAAAAAGTTGGACATGGCACTGCATGTTTCCATTCCCAGTGCTGGGGATGCAGAGACAGACAGATCTTTGGGGCTCTCTTGTGAGCCAGACCAGCTTCATTTGCAGATTCTAGGCCAAGTAAAATACCCTGATTCAAAAAACAAAGTGGATGGCACCTGAGGATAAGAACCAAGTTTGTTCTCTGGCCTCCACATACACGCACATACACACGCGCACACACCACCTCCCAGCATACACATATATACACACAAAAAGATTATATATACACACATAAATATGTGATGTGAAAGTTGGAGGA